TTCTTTCATTTTCATTATCTTCATAGTCAGATTGTTTCCTTCTTGGATTTCTCTTCTGAGGCATAGCTCTAAACCGCTGCCACCATGTACTATTTGACTAAGAATTAAGTGAATGCACTGTTTTATGTCATAACTCAAACTCAACTAACTTTATTTACCTTTATACAAACATAGAATAACAAATAAACATATGATAATAATTAATAGAAATTAACAGGTGTTATGAAATAAACTGTCTCACAACAGTAGCTAGCAGCGGTTGGAGGTCGCTGAAATAGCAGGCGCATAGGCAATAGACAATAGACAATTCCTTTATTAAAATTTCATCAAGAAATGTTACAGCGTCAAATTTAAATAAATAACATTGGTATAATAGATACAAAGTGAAATGGAAAAGCTTCTTCAGTGTTATGTGTGGTCTTGACATGCAAAGAACTCCTTTAGGGTGTAGAAAGCTTTGTCTAGCAGCCATCTCCGTAGCTTCCTCTTCATCAGCAACGGGCCTCCAATTTTCAAGTGGTCTGGTAGCTTGTTTAGCATCTTCACTCCTGTATACAGTGCTTACTGGCAGTGACGGTAGTACGCTGATGTCTTATTGATGCCTGTGTAAAGTCAGTGGCTAGCAGACAATTTCACAACTAACTAACTAGCCTGGTATGGAACATCAGGAAATCAGCTGTTTCCCCATCCTTGCTCGCGCGCTCGGCATTCGCCTTTGCCCTAGCATGTCTACAGCTGACTGCTGTAAAAATTGGATGATGCCTACAGCGTAATATTGTTTTATTCGTTGTGCTATTGTCCACAAAGTTTATCTCTGTGAAACTTAATACTACTCCTGCCATCGCTTATTAAGTTTAATAAAAACCACATTGATGATGTCTGTTTTATGGCATTGCGTGTTTTAAGAATGAAATGTACGTTTAAATTTACAAAACTGACTTTTCAAATATTGGGGGGGACGCGTCCCCCATGTCCCCTATGGTGGCGACGCCCGTGATATATACTAACTAAACAAACATTTAAAATACGTGTTTACATAGTTAACACCCTAATTTTCAATTATTTACACATATTTGAAATTGTCTCTATTATTATATACACGTCTATATTTGTAGCCCAACTAGCAGGTTTATTTATATGGATTCGATTTGAATCCTGTTTTATTCAAACTTCAAATTGCTCTTGTATTAGGTTGACCCCTTTAAATTTAATTGAGGGTTGGTATTTATATGAATTTTAAAGTATTTCTACTTCATTTACTCTATTTATATATATTTACTTTATCTTTCTTATAGTTTATTTATTTCGTTTATATGTAGATTTTTGTTATATTTTATGGAGTTTCTCCCTCACATTTAAGTTGTGCACACTATGACCAAATGAGTGAAGATATTTCGACATACCACAAGACGAGGCAGTTGGGCAACGATTGAAAGGTTCCCCGGGGCGTTCCTTTGGTGCGGGCGTAGACTCCGGGGTTGCTCGCTCGAGACACAAGGGTTGATCCAAGCGTAGTCCTTCCTCTCGTCGTCGGTCGCTCGTCCTATGGGCCGTCCTCTTCGGGTTGCTTTGGTCCTTGGTAGCGCGGTAGTGTGGTGGTGGCCTTTGGTCTTGAAGAAAGCCGTGGGGTTGTGTCCTCGTGATCTTGAGCTGGTCGGGATCTTAACAGGTGCTTCAGACTATCCTGTTAAGTCACTGTCCCTACTCGATCCGGGACTCCCGACGGTTTCTTCTTTGAAGTGCTACTTCTTGAGACCTCTCCAAGACTGATTAAAACTTTTGGTGTCCAAGACCTCTTTTCCCCCCTTCGATGTTTGGTTCTTCCCCCGATGTCTTCGGGAAACGCCTACCCTCCAATCACCGGTGGAATATCTTCGATCATCGTCCTCATTGGCTTCTCCCCTCATGACCAGCCTCCAGAGGGCGTGGTGCTGACCGTAAGTAAAATAATTTCTTTATGCATGTATAATTTCTTGGAATCGGCGGGAACAATATTGTTTCTCGTCGATTGTTCCCATCGGTTACAATTTCTTCTACCATGCATTCCAGATCGAAATTCAATCTATGCCTGGCTTGTTCTCAGCCAGGTCTTTGCCCATGAGAACGTGACTTGAACCTGAGATCTTGCGATCATCTTTACTTTTTATTCCTATGAGGGGCCAGCGAACGTTTTCTATTGTTCATGAGTTCGTAAAGATAAATAATTTTAATGAATTAAATTTTAAACTTCCATATGTTTATAATAAGCATTAGAATCATAGGAGATGGCTCAAAGGAATTGAACTTAAAATAGCTGAAAAAATAATGAATCAACAATTTTAAGTGAAGAGAACATTGGTGTAAAGATAAATATTGGTGTAATTAGGTTAGGTACACGTTGTTTTGTAATAAAGGGAAGTAAAAAAACACAGGGATGTAATTATAGGCATTTTCAGAGACCTGCATTTAGCCTACATTTTAATTTTGAACCCTCAGAGTTAGTAACCAACTTATTCTAAAACAGATCGGTAACTTACAGTTCTAGCTAGTTATAACCTACAAATCAACCCTTTACTAATTTACAGTTATGGATTCTACCATTTTGGTTACTGATAACTGCATAAGAGAGCTTTATGTGATGGTGAGTATATAAGTGAAACCACAAAATATATTATCGTTACAAAAGTTACATTGTCAATCACATTTGCATTGATTCAAGCGTTTAAACCATAAACCATTTGTTGCACATTAATAATTTGTATAATTCAATTTAATCGAAGACGAAGATTAAGCCGTCGAGTTTTGGCTAAAATTGTTGTGCTTCCTTGTCGGTCTTGACAAGATCGAACTATTTGCTACGAAGCGGCATTTCAAACACATCATGTCATTCACAATGATTCAAGAAAACCAGCGTATGGATGATATGTAAATTTTGTTAACATGTATGATTTTCATTTATTCAAACCAATTTATAATTTTTTTATAAAAGCTAAAATTTAAAATTCAGTTTTATCAAGTAAACCAATCACATAAAAAATGTCAAACAAGACACTATTATTTACAAAGCTGTATGTATTACCTTCAATTTGAATACACCTTCAATGTGAACCACAGTTTTTTGTTGCTAAGTTGGTTCAAATTAGCTGTCGTCATAAATGCAAAAAAATAATAGTGCTGCACCCTGTAGGTCAAGGGCGGTTCCAGAGAGGGGGCCATGGGGGCCATGCCCCCCCCCCCCCCCCCCGAGAATGTAGATAAACAAACTTAAACTCCAACCATAATAATTTATTTTTAAAGTTTTTAATGTGAGTAGGCTATCAAGTACAGATGTATTCATTAGGACATGAATAGGTAGCACAGGTAAGGCGGAGCTGGCATTTACGCGGAAAATAGTATGGAAGTGAGAGCGCGATAGTCATCGTCGTACTCAAGTTGTACTAGTCTGGGCCACACACATTCGCCACAGGTGCGTGGTGCCGCCAGCTCGCAGTTAAACGGGTAATGTTTTTAGGCCGGCGCGTAGACACATCCGATGACTCATCACCATCACGCCATGTGACTAGTAGCCAATAGCAAAAGAAAATTATTTTCTTTGCCAATAGCCGCAGTGCAGTGGTAGTAGTAGCGACCAGCCGACTACAACACTGCGACTAGCGACACTGAGTAGAGCAGCAGTGAGAGTGAACTGAACATCTGTGGAATTTATGCTACGTTGTCACTAGATGATTTATACCCTTGCATTGTGAATGGTTATTTATGGGTTCTTCGTCAGTATTTGAGTAGTAATAATGCAGTAATGGTAAGTTACCATTACTGCATTATTACTACTCAAATGGTAAGCACAACTTTAATAGATTATAGGTCTCTGTCGGTAAATTCAATGGACCATGGGCGCCATATTGAACCTACAATTTCAATTTCCTAAATTAGCCGAGCCTGAAAAAAATGTTTCAAGCTGATACCTTACAAGCATTTTGCAGAGGTTTGTTTTCAACGCAATACAATTGTAATTATTGAGCTCCCATATGCATTTAAGGATATTTTTAAAGTAGCCCATTATATATATATTAAAAAATATATATTAACAAGAATTGTTTAGTCGACACGAGACACTCTGGTGTGACATACAAGTACAGTACTACACCTTAAAACAAGCTTCACATTTTAACATTGGATGGGAAGTTTTTTTTTGTGTTAGCTTGTATACGGTTCAACATGCCTGATGAGTTCACTGGAACCACTACATGCGCCCTCCTTATATACCTGCCCAAGTCGGCACAAGGTGGTCAAGAAGTTTTATTGCATATAACCAAAATCATGCCTATACTATACACTTTTCTTGAATTGTATCAATAAACCTAACCTAAAACTAGGTTCGAGTTTGACTGTTTGCACTTTGTTGCCGAAGATATGTTCATGAAATTCCACAATTATTCTTAATAAGGCAAAAACCTCAAATGTGTGATTTTTTAAATCTTAAAGCTAGGGTCTCAAAATAGCTTTAAAAACGCTAATTTCAGCACATAATTTTCAAAAATTTCCTCCATATCCCCCAGACCCCCCCCCCCCCCCCGGTGACCCCCCATGTAATGCCCCCCCCCCCCCCCCCCGAAACTCAGCCCTGGAACCGCCCCTGCTGTAGGTAAACCTTAAAACCTGTTAATGCTATTTAATATCATAGAACTAACTTGTGCAGTTGAAACAGCTGACAAAATTCTTTAATAATTCCTTTAAATATTTATGGATATATTTTTATCAAACTTAGCAAATTTATTTATTCTATACTAAGCTAATAGTATTTTCCTAAAACCACACTTTGTAACCCTCGTTTCCACGGTTAACTCCAATATAATCTAACTCCATTTAAAAGAGGTAGTACCATAACTATTTAAGGTAAAAGGTAAAACTAAATTAAAGTTTGTACGATAATTTTGGCTACCAGTAATGTTAGGTGAAATCATATTAAAAGATTACAATGACCAAACAACAAAGAACCACTCAATCTTAAGCAGAAAACTTACCCCAGGTAACAAGAAAGCTCATCAGTGTTACCAATGGCATCAAATATTCTGTCATTTTTAGGCAATGAAACCTCATTAATTGTTGAGAAACCACTGTCTCCTTCTCGTGAAAATGGAGGATGGCTCTCGTTGTTTTCACCTGGTAGTTCATTTGACTGTGGAGGTTCAACTTTTGATGTTGAGCTAAAAAAGAAAAAGAATGATGAAAAGAAAGATTTGATGGGATAAGTATAGGATAAACATTTGCCGCACCAAACCTACGGACTAAGCGGATTTCCATAAACCCAATTAATTAATCTCTACTAAAATATTTCCTTAAACATCAAATTTATCCATAATATACTGTTTGAACTTATACTACTTATGTTATATTGCATTTTTTTACCTTAAATCTATCTATAGAGTAGACTGAGTGAGTATGGTGGAAGTTGGTGACGAGGATTCTCCCTGTGAAATTTGCAATATTTTAATTACTAATGACTGCAATGGTCTATTATGCGATGGTTTTTGTAAAAAATGGTACCACGCGAGTTGTGTAAATATAGACTCTAAGAAATACTCTGGTATTAATGAACTGGCAGACCTTATAAAGTGGTACTGCAAGCAGTGCTCTGCAAGGTTAGACAGGCTTATGTTAAGTGTTTGGGACGTTGATGATTTGATTAACACTCGTACTATCTTAGACAATCTTGTAAAGGTAGTGAAAGGAGTTGCAAACGACAACCTACAACTTAATAAACGCGTTGACGACGTTTGTTGTCAAGTGAGGTTAGGTCTGAATCTGAATCCTAGGTCTGTCGACACTTCAAAAATTGACAGTGTAAGGGCTGTAATTGAGACTGATGAAACTGTTATACAGTTTCCTTCAGAAGACCATTCTACTTTAATTGACGTGTCTAACAGTTCAGTGAACCTTGTGACTCCTGCTGTTGGTGATCTGAATATAGACAAACATTTTCCACCATTGCCGACAAAGACAAAGGTCAGTGCTCAAGCTTCTCCTTCTACTGATAACTGGCAGACACATGTATCCCGAAGGAACAGACGCAAGTCCCATAGGCCTAGACCAATTATAGGCACCAAGTCTGTGGATGTAGGTTCTGTCGCTAAAACTAAGGTTAAAGCCGTTGAAAAAAAGGCGTGGATCTTCCTATCTCGTATAGCCAACGATGTAACCAAGGAAGATATTGATAATTACATCTCTGATGATGGAATTTCAGGTGAGTCTATTCTACTAAAGTCGAAGTTTGATAGGCCTTATCGGTCTTTTAAAATCGGTGTCCAACCTGCGGATGCAAATAGACTTTTACAGGCTGACTACTGGCCTAAGGGTTCATTGGTTAAGGAATTTAAACAAAAATTTGTCCCGAGACTCAAGCCTCAATTCGTACAATCACGCACATTTTTAGGGAAAATGCAGCCCCGTCAAACTCAATCCTAGGTTATGGGCCTGAAATCTTGCCTAGTACGGGTAAATCTGCTAGTAGCCTGCTTGTGTGTGCTATAAATGTGCAATCTATACGTAATAAAATTGCTGAACTTGAAATACTTTGCTGTCAACTGGACATTGATGTGCTTTGTGTCTGAACATTGGTTGTTAGAGGCAGAAACTGCATACTACTCTAGAATCAATAGCCTTGACCTTGTATCTTGTTTTTGTCGAAAAACCCCTTGGGGGGTGTGGCAATTTATACTAGGTAGCGTTCGCAGAGGCATCCACAAAATTGAGCGGAGTCATCAAGAGTTTATGTTATATTATTTTTGTCGTACTACAGTAAAACAGTCGTTTTTAATGCATGCGTTGCGGGTCTAAAGTAGCAATTTTACTCTTAAGGGAGTAAAAATCGTTTTTTAGCCTCTATGGAGTAAGTATCAGCTGTTGTCAACTCAGTTGTAAATTTCAATTATAAACGATAGCATGTATCGAAAATATGTATCGATTCGTGCTTCATAATCATTTTTACCTACAGTTTTAAGAGATGACAACATTTGTGCGGATATAAATAATACAATAATTAGTTTGGCTACACATTGTTTTGTAGTTAAGGGGAGTAAAAACACAGAGCTGTCATTTTAGGTCTTTTCGGTAGCCTGCATTTACATTTCAAGTTTAAAACCTCTGGGGTGGTCATTAGCTTTTTCTCAAAAAGGGCGTTACAGTTCCAGCTAGTGATAATCTAGAAATCAACCCTTACAGTTTCGGATTCAACCATTTTGGCTGATTCAGTAACTGCATTAGAGGACTTCATGTGATGGTGATTATATAAGCAAAAACACAAAATATATGGCATTCTCTCAAATATGCGACCTTCATAACTACTAAAACATAACTAACCAGCCAATTATCTTAATATACTCGTTAAAAAATTGTATTTTTTACAATATTAAATATATAGATTGACTTAAAAGCAATTAAAAAAGCAATCCGGTGAGCACTACGGACTGCTCACCTTTACTACTTCCTCCAACACTTCCTACGTCACGGGCCTGTTTCCCTCCCTTCCCATAGCATTTTAGGATTACAGATACCTTAATCTAATCGTCATAAAAGTTTCCACACTCCGGACTGCTCGCCTTTACTACTTCCTTTGTCACTTCCTACGTCACGGACGTGTTACCCTCCCTTCACTTAGCATTATTGGATTGCAAATACCTTAATCTATTGATCATAAACCGATCCAAAACTCTGGACAGCTCGCCTTTATTACTTCCTTCACCATTTCCTACGTCGCGGACCTGTTTCCTTCCCTTCCAATAGCATTTTAGGATTGCATATACCTTAATCTAATTGTCATAAAAGTTTCCAGACTCCGGACAGCTCGCCTTTACTACTTCCTTCACCACTTCCTTCGTCACGGACCTGTTTTCCTCCCTTCCCATAGCATTTTATGATTGCAGATATCTTAATCTAATCGTCACGAACGGTTCCCACAGTCCGGACTGCTCGCTTTGACTACTCCCTTCACCACTTCCTACGTCGCTGACCTGTTTTCCTTCCTTCCTATAGCATTTTAGGATTGCAGATATCTTAATCTAATCGTCTTAAACAGTTCCCACACTCCGGACAGCTCGCCTTTACAACTTCCTTCACCACTTCCTACGTCACGGACCTGTTTTTCTCCCTTCCCATAGCATTTTAGGATTGCAGATACCTTAATATAATCGTCACAAACGGTTGCCACAGCCCGGACAGTCTTAAACAGTTCCCACACTCCGGACAGCTCGCCTCTACTACTTCCTTAACCACTTCCTACGTCGCGGACCTGTTTGAACCAATTGAACCTAATTGATAACCTAACATAACTAAACCTAACAACAACAACAACAACAAACAAACAAACCTAACATAACCTAACCTAACATAACCTAACCTAACATATAACCTAACCTAACATAACCTAACCAAACCTATCTTAAAACTTAACCAAGCCTAACCTAACAGATGTTTCGTCCTAAGTATCTCCGGTGTTTTTCATCGGATCCAAAAGATTCTTCCATATTCTTAATCTACACAATAGGCCTACTCCGCATATTGTGAGTAGGTACTCACATGACATATTTTGAGTAAAAAAAATAATTTTCCCTTTATCAGTTTTTTCGGTAGGCCTAATTTCCGGTCTTTTCCGAAAAATAAAATCGTCATTTTCGGATTCGGCGTGAAATTTAAGTCATTATGGAAAAAAAACATTTTCACTTTTGCGACTAGGCCTAGTTCAAGGATAACATTGAAACTTTGAGACCCAGTGGGGCGGATTCCTGAGAGACTTTTTTAACGCCATATAGATGTTGGCACTCACCGATATGTTCTTTATCACCATGCAAAATTTGAAAACGATTGATCCAGCCGTCTAGGAGGAGTTTGCGTATTACGAAATGCATAAGAGTCGACGTATAAGAGCTTCGCTCGCTTCGCTCGCTCCGCTCAATTAATACTAAATGGAACTACTCTTTATTAGACTTAAGTGAGTACTGTGAAGAACTGCATGCAGAATTTACAGGTATAATCATCTCTAACTTGAATCTCATTGTTGTCACCATGTATCATTCGCCTGGTGGTAGTTTTGAACGCTTTTTTTATTTACTTGACATGTGTCTAGTTTATTTAACTTCCCTGGGGTTAGATATTATAATCGGCACAGACCACAATGTGAATATACTTAACCATCCAAGTGAGGCCAGTGATTTCAGGAACATTCTCCGCAGCCATGATATATTCTTCAGTGTCAATGAACCAACCCGTGGTCTATCTCCTTTAGACACTGTTCTTACCAATCTTGACAGCTGGAGATACATGGCCCATGTAAGTGTAGATCAGATATCTGACCACAAACATGTTTTTTTTTTAACTAGATCTACCAGAAGGTGTATCCAAACGTGGTCTGCAGGAACCTGACTACTTAAATAATCCTGTCAAAACTGTAACTTACAGACAATTTAATGAAAGTACGCGGCCTTGGAGCATTAGGGTTCTAACTGACATTTTTGTCAAAATTGAGATTTTGATGCATTATGGTTCTATTTGTCATTTTACAGCTGTTTATGAAAGTTGTAATGGTGAATTGTGGGTAGTTTTTTTTATATAAGCAAAACAATTACGTTCCATTTCCAGAAAGACCAAAATCCTAATTGAAGAAGGTTCTATTTGGTAGTTAGAACCACATTGATCTTCAAAAACTCCACACAAAGTTCAACAAAGTCCTATGTCATACATGGAACCTTGTTGTTTTAATTTTGCTCAGTGGTCAGTGACATGATGGTTGTATCTTGCACGTCCTGTTGTTTGTTTACAGAGTGTAGATGATGAGTTGTTCGTTGGTGAGTCAGTTGGTTATTTACAGGTTTATTAATATTATGTCGATCTACCTATACATAATGATGAGTAAAATGTAACTTAGTAAAATGTAACTTAATAAAATGTAACTTAATGAAATTTAACTTAATAAAAAATGTAACTTAGTAAGATGTAACTTAGTATAACAAAATGAAACTTAGTAAAATGAAACTTAATAAAATGTAACTTAATGAAATTTAACTTAATAAAAACTGTAACTTAGTAACTTAAAATGTAACTTAATAAAATGTAACTTAAAGAAATTTAACTTAATAAAAAGTGTAACTTAGTAAAATGAAACTTAGTAATATGTAACTTAATAAAAAATGTAACTTAGTAAAATGTAACTTAA